TACCTATACAGTCATAAATAAAGAATATACATAAGGCCTATGTTATGAGAATTATAATAAAGATTCATTTGGAATTAGCAGGAAGCTTGAGAACTCCAGGTTAAACAATATCAAACTGTTCTACTCTACTATTACATATGAGCAAAACCTAGATATGCAGTCAACTGAAATTTCCTTTACATGACCTATGGACTACAGAAGTTCTCTACAATACAATTCATCTAGACATAAGAGAAGAAGCCAAATGACACTGTACCTCCCATCATACTAAAAGGTAAAGGGTAGACATAAACAATAGCAGAAAATATAAGATTCAAGTATTCCCATCTCAGATGAAAAGCTGACCACAGCGAACTGGATTTATGCCAGACTTCCAAATGTCAACAAGTTCATTTACTGACATCTAATTATTTTAGATTATTGTATGTGAATGGCTGTTTTGCTTATGTATATTGTATACTTGCTCCAAATCCTGCCTAGTTCCAAGAGAAGTCAGAATCATCAGAAGGTATCAGATTCTGAAATGGGAATTACAGATAGTTGTGAGCCACCATGTAGTACTGGAAACCAAACCCAGGTCCTCTGCAGAGCAACAAGTGCTCTTACCCCATGATCCAGCTCAGTAGCCCCTCATCTCAGTTTCTTTACCTATAATGTACATATATAAAATAATGTGCTTTACAGAATCACAAGTAAGATGATGTATATACCATACCATCAATTTACCATTAATTTCAGTAAGCAATATATAAAACCATATAATCAATTTGCTGAGGTAAGACATTGCTATTAATACTCTTCCAATTTTCTGGAAGAGGCATGCTGGGTAAAATGTAAAAATGATAGCATGATTGTGAATTTGGCTATAGGAAGGTCAAAGTGTTATATGCCTTGTTTTAATAAGACTGGTCAAAACAAAGCCAAAAATACTCTTTGAGACAGATTTGAGAGTTTGAGGACTTGTTTTCAGATCTGCTGTGCAAATTCAACTCTCCCCAGTTGCTGAATGCAGGACAGTCTTTTTCTTAAATCTTCTTAGCTTTTATGTGTACATACATACATACATACATACATACGTATACGTGTGTGTGTGTGTGTGTGTGTGTGTGTGTGTGTGTTCTGGTACTGACAGCAGAGCCTTGTTTTTCATACTGGAATTTGAACTCAGGGCCTTATGTATATTAGGCAACAATTACTACTGAGCTACAATCCCAGAGCTCTTTTTAGAAACATTTTATTGTTGTTTGCTTTGAGAAAGGAACTCAAACCCTTGCTGGTCTTGAAGTTGTTTTGCATCAGTTAGCAGGCTTTAAATTTGTCTTCCTGCCTCCTGGGTATCTAGGATTACAGAGGTCCATCTCATAGTCAACTTAGAATAGTTCAAAAGTAGCTGTATTCTAGAGCCATAGTTCTAAGATTTGAATCTGGGATCTATCAGTTACTATCATGGAGCCTGTCTACATTCATCTATGAAATGTGTATAATGAAATAGGACAGTGGTTGAATTCAACAACACACTGAAACTGTAATATATAAATAATATAATATGGAATATTTTATATAGAATATAGCATAGAATATAGAATATAATAATATAATGTAGAATAATGTCCTAATTCTTAGAACCCAAGGATGTGTTGAGTCACATAGCAAAAAAAAAAAAAAAAAAAAAAAGGATGCTTCTAATTGAATCAATAAATAGAGAAGCCACCATAAATTATCTAGGTGGGCTCAGTTTAAGCACAAGGGCTCATAACAGCAGACAATGAAAACAGAAGAATCAGATAAAGAAATGGCAAAGATGTTCTCAATCTTGGGATGGTCTCATACACCAGTGCTGGTTTTTGAGACTAAGGAAGGAGACGATTAACCAAGCAAGCCCAGAGGCCTCTTGGATCTGACAACCACCATCAGTTGTCAGTCAACAAGGAAACATGGAATTCAGACCTATGACAGCCAGGAGCTGGATTCTGGGAGCAATTTGAACTAACAGAAAAACAGAATCTTCTTTACAGCCTCCAGGAAGAACACAGCCTTCCTGATAGTTTGATTTTTAGCCCAACAAGACTTGTGTTGTACTTCTGAAGCACTCAACCACATTTTTATTGTATTACACTCTAAACATGTGGTGATTTGTTATGGTCACTGACAAAAATGGTGCCTAATGTCCACACTAAGAATGCCAAGCATTTAGACTGGCATTTACAACATGTAGTAAAGACTGATTCAATTCCATAATTTAGGGATAATGATGTTGTTTATGAGGATAGCAACAATAAACTATTTGGTTACTTGTGACATTACAAATATTAATCCTGCTTATAGACCTGCAGGTATAGCTAGCTCAATGGTAAAGTGTTTTCCCAGAAAACACTAAGTTCTAAATACAGTATCCTTCACCAAACAAAAAAAGAAGAGAGGAATATTTTTCTAAAATGAAAATATTCACATTTTAGCCTTGCTATTGGTTATTTATCATACTAATTGCTTTCCATATATAGTAAATTGTTTTATCAATCCTCAAAACTATCAAATGAAGTAAATATAATTGTCACCATTTTTTAAAGATAAGGTTGGGGCACAGATAAGAAAAGTTAATTTTCCTGACCCTGATTTCCATTCTGAGCAGTTTGCATTAAACAGAAATTATCAAGGACATAAATTCCTAAGTAGAAAGGGAGAAAAATTTAATGTCCCCAAAGACAGAAATAGAGCACAATGGGTACACGTGCCTATGCGCTCCTTTCTTCTCCTGAGCCAGAAGTGGTTGTGTTGACGCTCTTGGGAACCATTTAACAGCAAGAGATGCACAGGGCTTGGGATTTTCTGAGACAGAGCAAGAGCTCTATAGGTATTCTCTATATATACAACCCTAGCTAGATCCCTGCTGGGTCCACAGTATGTGAATCTTAAATAAGGAAAACAATCTAAGATCTTATGCAGCTGAGGATACATGAAATGCATTTCAGGTGGCCTGAGACAGAGTGCACAGTGTCTTTGGACCATAGTGTTAGAGGATGACTTGCTTCTTTTTTTTCCAAGCAGAAAAAAATTTTACCTCACTCATTTTATTCAAAGAGTAATCCATGAAAGCGTACATGGATAAGGTTGGGTTCTCAACACACTACCAGTGACATTGGCATTAAAAGGACCACAAGGTACATGAATGTTGAAGAGTATAAAATAACATACATGATATGTTGAAGAGATAAAATGCACAGGGTTGAGAATAGATGCCTGGGTGAAATTTGAGTCCCTACAATGGACTCTGTGTCACAAAGAAAGTTCCTTTACCTTACAGAACTTTTAAATCTTAAGTTTATAAAGTAGAATTTATATTACTATATCAATAGATTATTGTTAGCATTAAAGGAAATGGTGTACATGACTCACTCAGCTAGAGCACTTGCCTAAGCTGCATAATGCTGTGAGGTTAGGGCAGAGGAACACGTGTATGTGACACAGAGATCTAATGCCTGGAATGTAAACATAGTATTCCATAGTGCAGAGGCTCATTTAGATCTCCCACTAACTGCTCGTCGTCTTGTTAGTTTGTGGCCCTACACTGCTAATACAACTGCCTGTCCACAGGAAAACCTACATCCTAGACCATGTTTCCTGTCAAGTTCAGTACTGTCAGCAATGTTGGAGGTTACAATTGGGGAAAAGTGGGTTCTGTGAGGCTCTGTATGTAGGATCCTGTATCTCTGTAGGACTAGGGGCTGCTCTTGGAAGAGATTCTCTCTATATCCCTTAACTATGATATTTGTGAATGAATGAATTTGGGGCAGGGAGAGTAGGTTAATGAATACCTATACAGCAGACCACAGGCACCACACAGAGCCCCTATGGAGAAGGACCTTACATAATATCCACTCTGATAACTGGATGTCAGTCTACACTTTATCAAACAGGAGGAGACCTGCTCTAATATAAATAAGCCTAATAAACTGTCAGAGTGTTCTGGAAAATCAGGTCTTGGAAATTCTTGTCTTCATTTGATACTCAGGTCACTGAGGCAGAAAGAAGGGGCAGTGAAAACAGACAGAGACAGACACAACTCAGTGAATGAACAGCCTTCACAATGTTCCATATACTATGCAGGCTTCAAAGTACAAATGTGCCAACATTTCAAACAACACACATTAAAACATTCAAGGAGATACAAACCAAGAAACTGTATCACTACTAAAAAGAAAGTAAATCCAAGCATGCTAAAATTAGATTAGGTGAAAGAAACAGTCTAAGGAGTTAGACCTTATCAAGTAGCAGTTAGAGTGACCTATTAGCACAAGAGAAATAGAATTAGGGAACGCCATGGAGAGACTACATTCAATTTCAATGAAGTAAGTTCTATAGCAGAGATGAAACTAAACCTAGGTTTCTTTTTCTTCTTTGTAATTTTATATCCAGACCATAGTTTCCCCTCCCTCCTTTCCTTCCAATTCCCCTTTCCTCCATATCCACTTCTCTTCCATTTAGTTAAGATAAGGGCAATGCCTCCCTTAGATATCAACCAGCCATTGCATATCAAGTTATAGTAAGACGAGGCACTGCCTTGCCTATTAAGACTGGATGATGCAACTCAGTAGAAGGAAAAGGTCCTAAAAACAGGCAACATAGTCAGAGACAGCTTCTGCTCCCACTGGTAGGAGTCCCACAAGAAGACCAAGTTACACAATTGTAGCATATGTGCAGAGAGCCTAGGTCAGTCCCATGCAAGCTCCCTTTGAACCTGAATTTCTAAAAAACTTATCTGAACCCTTCCTTCTTATTCTGACATGACCATTCTATTCACAACTACAATAGCTTCTGACTGATTTCCTTGTCCATCTCCAGTATGTTGTATGTGTTTATGTATGTGTGTATGTGTATATACACTTCTATGGAGACCAGACAATGAATGTCTTCCTAAACTGCTCTTCAATTCTTTCATTATTATTATTATTTATTATTATTATTATTATTATTATTACTTGGATTTAAAAATATTTAATTGTCCTGCCCCTAGAAGCATTGCAGATGTGGCTGCTGTGTCACATGTGTGTCAATAGGTGGCAGAGAGGAGAGATAATCTGTCTACACTTAGTATTCCTACCTATGACTATCTGAATGATTTGTAGCCTAGAATTCCCTGAGAAAAGTGAGTCTGAGACCACCAACAGTCTCGCCCAGGGGAACTGGACAGGGAGCTAGCCTGAAATGAGCACTAGTCTAGCACCAGGCATGCCCAAATGGGCTTCTAGGAAAGGTAGCAAGCCTGAGAAGAACCATTCATGGGACCATAGGCTCAAAGCAAGAGTAGCCCAAGTGAGATAGCTACTTATGTGTGCCTGGTGAGAAGCAAGCCTGAGACGGCCACCAGACTGGCACCATGGGACTCGGAGAGGGAACTAACCTGAGATGAATATCAGTCCAGCACAACACAGGCCTGGAGTTTGGAGGGAGTGGACAATGCAGAGATTATCCTTTCCTGATGCTACTTCATAATCAGGACATAGCACTCCTGAGACAACTCCAGAGATGACCTCAAACACTCCGACCCCAGGTGCCACTAAGGGGAACAAATAAGTGGTAGAGAAATGGAAGAGAAAAAACCAGAAGGATGTGGGCACAATAAAGAGGCACAACTGGAGACTTGAGGGTAGTGAAGTACAGCCTCAAGTGAGCAGTTGGTGATGCCACCTGGGACCATGGCCTGGCAGCAGCATGGGTCTATTACCACCAAAGGCCAGGCAGACATCCCTGGTCTGGGCTGTCACCTCTGGACATGTTGATGTCTGAGGGTTGTGCAGAACTGATCCCACCACTCACCCAGGCATCCTGAGAGAGCTGGCCCCAGAAGCATGAAAGCAGGAGAACTGACCGCACCCTAGCCAATGACAGTATTCAGGAGAGCAGGCCCACATATTGCAGGAGTTATAGGTGAGCTGGCCCCAAGGATGGAAGCATGGGACAGCTGATCCTATCATTCCCTTCAGTGACATGGATGGGGAAGAAATACTGTCCTTCCCCCACCCCTTTCCCCTCCCCACCCGTGGCAAGAGGGAGACCTGGCCCTGAAGTCATGAGAACAGGAGAGCTGACCCTGCCCTTCACAAGCTGTAGCACTTGGGAGAGCGGTCCCTACACCTCACCAGGGCAGCACATTAGAACTGACCCTGGTACCAGAGACATGGGTAAGCCAATCATGAGGGTATGCACATGAGAGAGCTGGCCCTGCCACCTGTCTGCTATGTGGTGATGAGGGTGAGGGAGAGATGTCCCTCCCCCTGCCATCTATAGCAGGTAGGAGAGCTAGTCCCTAGGTCATCATAATAGGAGAGCTAGCCCTGCCCCTTACCTGCTGTAGCATTTGAGAGAGCAGACCCTGCACCTTGTCTGGGCAACACAGTAGAGCTGATCCTGATGTCTGGAATGTGAGTGAGCCACTCTTGAGGGTATGAACTTGGGAGAGCTCACCCTGCTTCTTGTCTACCAGGAGAGATGCCCTCACTAACCCTTGCCCCTTGCCACTTACAAGAGTCAAGAGAGCTGGCCTGGAGTCATGGAAATAGAACTATCCCTGCCTCTCACCTGCTGTAGCACTTGGGGAAGCAGACGCTACATCTTGCCTGGGCAGCACAGTAGAACTGGCCCTGGATATGGGGGTTGCAGAAAAGCTGGCCCTGAGAGTATGAACACATGAGAGCTGGACATGTAGTGCAGACAAAGGAGAGACATCCTCCTCCCCTCCCTTGTTCCTCACATATGTCTATGGCATATGGCAGAGCTGGCCCCAGGGTGATGAGAGTAGAACTAGCCATGACCCTCACTGGATACAACACTAGGGGAGCAGCCCCGCATATGCAGCAAGGTAGAGCTGGCCCTGGTTGCAGGGGTTACAGGTAAACTGTCCCCAGATGCATGATAGAATGTGAGCTGGCAGGATGACTATCTCTGATACTTCTCAGGCCCAGATCAAGGGCTTTCAATTGGCCCACCACAACATCTACTCCACCAATGGAGTGCTGAAATAGAGGATGGGGCCTGTTCTACAGATCCAAAACTTCAGGATCTCCATGACACCGGGCAACAACAGGATACATGAGAGTAGTCCCGGTGAGGTTCCAGTACTGATAGAGTAGCAGAAGCCAGAGATCTTGTACCAGACCAATGATCGTTCGCAAGCAAACAGATGTGGACAAAAGGCGCTTCTGAGGGACATACTGTGACACACTACAACTTTCACAATGAGACTTTTTTCTCTGTTGGGGAGGAGGTTGCAAGGGTGGAGGTACGTATAAGTGAGTGGGACTGAGGTACATGATGTGAAATTCACAAAGAATCAATAAAAAGTAAAGAAGAAGAAGAAGAAGAAGAAGAAGAAGAAGAAGAAGAAGAAGAA